GGGGGGGGGGGGTGGGTAGCATTATGAGTATCTGGTCCACATAATTATTCCCCCTCAGTCCAGACTCTGTTTTGAGCTATTCTTGTCTATTGGGTTCTTAGTTTATGTTTGCTATTAAAATGTACAAGGATTACTTAAACATAGAATACCTCTAACTGATCTGGTCAAACAGCTGTACCTGCTGGACCAGATTTTTTCTGAAGAGTGTATTTTGTAAGTTCCACTTTATATTATATATATATTTTTTTCCTAACAAAGTTAACTAATGTTCAGGCTGTGGAAAAACACTTTTCCATTGTTCTCAGTTCAAGTTTTGGACTGTGGATTATTTTATGCCTGGCAGTTTTGACCCTGTATCTTGTAAAATTATTCTGCTTTCTCATATGTTCTTCTCTAATGGTGATTACAGGATGCGTGATGCTTATCTTTGAGCTTGTGTCACAACCCAAACACTATGTAAATCCTGTACTACTTCTAGGATTTTGTAAGTTTTTCTATATCTTACTGTTTCACTGATCTGTGCAAACACTAAGCCCAAATGGTCTCTTTCTTGATTACTCTGTTAGAAATACAGCCGTTTACATTTTTACAGATTGAAGAAAATTGTGAAGGCTACCACTTTTTCTTTTTTTTTTTTTTTTTTTTTAAGTACACTCAACTTTTTTCAGTAGTGGCAAACTTAACATTTTTAAATGTCCTTTTAAATTCTTTTATATTAAGCATTCTGATTTCTTGAAGGAAAGCTGTAAAAATGCCTTTCTTTAGGAGCATGAATAGTTCTTCACGGAGCAGGAAGTTTCATTCACAGAAGGCGGCTTTGAAAAGATTCTCTTCTGTTACACAGCTGTAGTTTTGGAGCCTTTGCAGAGAGGTAAATGGATTTATTCCAGAGTTCAGTTAATATAGTGCCCTGCCCTGGTCTCAATCTTCAAATGGTATTTTATCACTAACTTCCATTAAATGTCCTTTTGTACATTCTGTTTCTGAGTGCACACTAGAGCATTCAGTTTAATATTTATATGCAATTTGTACTGCCTTTAACTGGCCACAAGGCTAGATCAGCAAACAAAGTTTTGCAAACAAAATTTCAGTTGAGATTTCATATTAAAGATTACTGGCTTCAGTTTCTATTTGATCAGCATGAAAATGCCAAACGTGTTAAGCTACCTGGGTTTCAGAATGGATTGTGGGTGACAGCAAGATTTAGAAATGGGGCAGTAAAGGTTTTAATTTTGTTGCTAAATAACTTCCTCAAAGCAGAAGAGCGTGTGGGAGGAGGAGAAGTACACCTTGTGGGACTCCTGTTAGGGAATGTCTGGAATGCTAGGTAAGGGTTTCGTGCTGCTCGGCTCCTGTGCCACCGTGTGGCTGCGTCCGCAGGTGATGGCTTACCAGGGCCATGGCAGAAGATGTGTTCGTTTTCTGACCCCCTCGACCCCCCCCCCCCACCCCCCTCGCAAAAAACGCTGATGCACCCAGGTTAAGGAGGGAGGGAAGTAAACTAACATGCTGGAAGCTTTTGAGCTGTAGAAACTGGTGCTTTGCTTTATGTAATTTGTTTGTGAAGTGTTTATTTTTATAACAGATCATATTGTTGAACACATGGTTTTTAAAAACCACAAACTGATCCATGAGTTTCAGTATTTGAGAAGTGGATGTTCATCTGTTGGGGGAGGCAGGATATGAAAATGTAAGCAGATGGATGTTTAAAGGGACACTGTCACAAAATATCTGCTGGGATATAGGATATGTTAGTTTTGGGGGATGTCCCATCTATATATGGAAATATATATTCTATATGTATGTGATCAAACAGAAAATTTTTCCTTGAACTTTAAATATTTTCCTATAAGTTTGGGAGGTTTAAGTAGAAGTTCTATGCATGAAACCGGGAAGCAAAGCTATTTTGTTCAGACTGTCCACAGTGACATTTTTTTTCTTAACATACTAAGAAGAATATAAGAATTTTGAAAGATGACAATGTCCTTTCAAGAGCACCTCCCCAAACTAAACGTATCCTTGTTTTAGACTTCCCACTTCAATAGATGACTGGCATTTGAATGTCTTTTTCATTAAACTCTTTATATTAAAATTAAAAAGTAAATATTTCTAAGTCTAGTCAAGTTCTCACTATGTTCTGACTTCATGTATCAACCACTATTAGAAACAACTCTGTAAACCGCCTGCCCCCCTTCAACTGCAGTGAATTGAATGGTTCCATCAGTCTGAGCATGCTCAGTGTGACTGCAAAACACCATTGTGCATATGCTTTGTATATTGGGGCAAGGGTTTTTTATATATATATTTTGGGAGGGGTAGTGGGTGGGATGGAGAAATACTCAATCAGCTTAAGCCAGAATAATGTGTGTAAAAGCCCCTGAAGTATTTTGTGTGTGAGTGCGCGAGTGTGAGTGCGCGCATGGGAGTGTCTGACATCTTATTCCCTTTGTGTTATGAAAATTTGTGAGATTGACTTTTTTCTGCAGAAGCAATTGTTACAAAAAATTGTAAATAAGAGCTACATAATTTTGTTTAACCATGAACATCATGTCACAATAAACCCTGAACAATTAATTTTAGAGGAGGAAGAGACTCCAGGTAGGGCCTTGGGCCCTTAGCTATCGGCAAGGCATCGTTAGATGGTATGCAATGAATGTTTGTCTTGGGTATTTGCAATCCCCAGTTGGTCTTTTTTTTTTTTTTTAATCAACTCTTTGCAGTTCCCCGCCGCACCCCTTTTTTTGGTTTGTTTGATTGTTTTAACCTGAAAGAGTGGCCGGAAAAAGGGGCAGCTGCAAATACTGTTCCATTTCTGCTGGCCCACGATCAGTGTGTGTGCCTGTAGACATGGCTGTCATCGCTGGGCCTGATAGGGTTGACAACTCTTGCAATACCTTGACAATACTGAGATCTACAGCATGGTACTAGGAGTTAAGTTTGAATGTAACATTAATGCTTTATTTAAAATAAAAACAACACTTTTTTTTTTTTAAAGGGGTTGAAGTGAACATGACTGTTGACCATGTTCGTGAATTTAGATGCAACATTCATTGGTAGAATTGTGTGATGGTCTTTTGTGCTACTTAATTTTACATATTCCAGTCTCTGTATGTACCTGCAAAGAAAGAAAAAAAAATAACAAAACCCTGCTTTGCTTTTATTGAAGGGTTCCCAGGACTGCATACCTGCTCCTGAGCTCTGTTTTAAGTATGTGTATCCTTCGCTTGTATTTTGTATTAAAAAACACAAGGAAAAAGAACCCTTTATTGTTCAGCATGTTGGAATTGTGTCCCCTCTTTCATTTTTCTCCTTTTTGGAATATATTAAGCAACTCATTCTTCTGTATCTTTTATTTTCTTTTGTAAACTTTTTGGTTTTGTTTAAAAATGGCTTTATAAAAGGGCTTTTATAACCCATAAACATGACTTGTGTAATTTTTCTGCTATTCTAAGGTCATCTTCTGTGATTGCTTTGTTTTGTTACTGTCAGCAAGGTGTAAAAACTGTATTTGCCTTTCACAATGTCTCTTAGGTTTGAGGCTAATTCCTTTTTAGACCTTAGACTTTCCCTGAGGAAGCCAGTCAGGTTTTGGCCAGGGCAGTTTGACAAGTATGATTTCAGTATTATTACCAATCAGTTGAGGGAAAGATTTAAAAAATTAAGCCATCTTGGCAGTGAACTTTGGTTTCACAAGCTGTTCTGCCAGAGGATTGTGACTTGAGGCTTGCAAGTTCAAAACCTAATGAAAATCAGTCATGAGGACGAACAAAACCTTTTACGTGACATACTTGCATCCATGAGCTGCCCCTCAGCAATCAATAGCCCTTTTATTTGCCATGTATGTCTCAGCAATGGCAGTAAGTACACAGCCTGTTATTTATCTGCGGGTATCAGGTGAAAGAAGACAGAGTTCAGCCAGGATGTACGCTAAATTTCTAGGTGGCTGCCATTTCAAATGCACATAAAGTGACGCACCGTACTGATTGCTTTTCAGATGGGTCGTCCCATGCACTAGAGGCTATCGTGCGTAGTGAGTTTATGTTTTAAGAGATCTCTTGTGGCAGGTTTTATCTCTTTTCCTATAAAGTCTTAGTTCCATTTTTTTCTATAATAACAAACATACCAGCTAAGATGTTTTAAAAAGCATTTGGTCACTGTGACTCTTCACAATTGTTCTTGGGGCTGTATAATCTGTTGAGCTTTGGCCCTTGCCTGTTGGGGTGATGGAGACAAGGTGACCTTGCAGCAATGCAGTGCAAATGTTGCTTGTGAGCAGCAGAGGGCGAGCCTGGACCTTTGTACTGTGTGTCCCACTCCCCCCCCTCACCCAAATATCCTGGGCTGTCACAGTTACAGTAGTATTGTAAAAAAATATACAGTAGTATTATAGTAATACTTTTGTTTTCATTTGTCTGAGACGAGATGGAAAATACTTTGAGCTTTGTTGAAAGCTATTCTAAACAAGTGTCAGCTAACAATGTTTTGCCATCGTTGCCTTGATAAATCTTGGATCTTGTAGTTTTGTTTGTGTTTTCCTCATGTATATGTATTTGTGTCTTAAATTATGATTCATCAGGGGAAATACCTCAAACCATTTGTTTCTGCTAGGATTTCAGGTGAAGCTTCTTCCGGGGACCCAAGGGATGTGATTTTTTTTTTTTTCCTTAGAGTTTAAGCACTTATACTTGTAATCTTAATAAGCAAGCACTTTCAGTATGTCTTGTACTTGCTTGGATTCAGCAGTCCACTTAACCGTAAGGA